TAGTAGCAGACTTTTGTGTAAAACCTTAGTAATACCGTTAATATATAGTATCCGACACTGTGGTATTGAACTATGACATTACCCCCTCCCTACTAATATAGCTGTTACCTGTGGTACGACTTTGTGGCTCTAAAATAGTAGCACCCTCTAGTTCCAATTTGTGACACTATGACATCATCCCACGTCTTCTGGTGGCACTGCGTGAAGTTATGACGTAATCGCCCCCACCTGTTCCCATGACGTCATCCACTCCCTAAGACCTCATTGTCTAACCCGCCCTTGTCCTGAGGCAGTCAATCAGAATATGGTGTCTAAACAGGCCACCTAACTTGTTAGATTGTTCTCGAATTTTGTCTGCTTTTCAAAATACCAATTTGCTACCATCACAAAGAAGTGGTTAACCTTCTTTATGACCTTCACATTTAAATTCATTCACCACAATTTAAATAAATAGTCCTTGGGAAGTGTTTGCTTATGTTCTCAGTAAAAACAATACCCCTCCTGTCGGTAGGTAATGATCATATAAGATTAAATAAAATGCATTGTTACATAATATATCAATTATCGTTTGTGTACAATGATAATATTGAACACGTTTTGTGTATATTTTTTACGGGTATTGTGATTCTGTTTCAATTTTTTGAATTATAACAAAATATTGATGTGCCTATTTTTTAGTAAAAACAATACCCCTGCCGTCGGTCTGTGATGGTCATTTATTGGAGTATTTATTACATAAGTGGAAACAACACCTCTGCCGTCATCGGTGGTGATCATATATTGACGTATTTATTTTTCCAGTGAAAACAATAATTTTTTTCCATATGTTGGTGGTCATCATATATTGACGTGTTTATTTTCCCAATGAATACAATACCACTGCCATCAGCCGGTGGTAATACTGACGTGTTTATTTTCCCAATGAATACAATACCACTGCCATCTGTTGGTGGTCATCATATACTGACGTGTTTATTTTCCCAATGAATGCAATACCACTGCCATCTGTTGGTGGTCATCATATACTGACGTGTTTATTTTCCCAATGAATGCAATACCACTGCCATCTGTTGGTGGTCATCATATACTGACGTATAATAATGGCTGGAGACGGCTTAAATGGGTAATGAAGAAAAACTTTAATACAAGTTTAACATGACAGCATGCTGGAAATGTTGGAAAAGCCTAGAGCTAGGGTTACGGTTTACGCGTGACTAAAATAGTAAAATGCCTCTAATACACAATCGGTGGCTAGAGGGATATGTAATTTCTTCTTCTGTAGATAATTATTGACACGGTGTGATTATTAAAAGGTATAGAATGAAAAGATACAACTTTTCCATTAAGAAAGAATGCAATATCTTTCGTAGAAGTGCAAAATCTCGTAAAACATAGCGTGCTCACCCTATGTTAATCAGGACTAACGTGGTTAAGAAAGTGGACCCTCTGAACCAAAATAATCATTGCGAAGAAGTTAAGCATATGTTTTGAAATCTACCTGTGGTTGTTTTCTTGAGAAAGATGGAACCAGAGAAATACCATAAAGCCTCCCGATGCATCTCCAACAAACTTTTGTACTGTAAAGATTAACAGATTGATAAGCATAAATTAAGTAAGGAAAAACAAACATAAATTAACAAAAGTTAATTAACCGACTAGTTTCGACATACCACGTGTGTCATTATGAAAGGTCGCAATTAGTCGAGTAATTAACTTCATTTTTTTTTTAGTAAATTTGTTTTTGTTTTTCCTTACTTAAGTAATTTGTTCTTATAAAGCTATTAATCTTTATAACATTTGTATATAGCACAAAGTACTACTTAACTTGATAATGACGTTTGTGCCTTTGGTCTGCTTCAAGCGTGTGCTTAGGAATTGTCGATTTAAAACAATAGCTGATTTCTGGAAAGCTGCCAGAAAGGAGAGGGGCAAGACATTGACTTGGCTATTATTTGAAGTAACCATCGTTACGCAGACAAACAGATAAAACATGGTCTATGAGGAAGAAAATGTCTTCGCTACAAGTATGTCGAACTTAATCATCGTTTCCAAACACTGTAAGTTACATTCCGTGCGTAACATTACTCAAGACAGCTACAAACGAAGTAAGTAATTTTACATAAAAAACAATCAGCCAGCTTTAGGATAAACGGGATAAAAAATATTGTAAAATTTACACGAAATGGTAAATACTTAATCTCAAATATTTTCAGAGCAAAAAAGTTCAACGTACCATCGCTGTCACTGTGGTAACATAGTACCACTGTTATTATGGTAACGTTTAACTGACACTAACGTAACAATAAATATTTAAATTGAGCTATCCAATGCGGTGACGTATTTGTGGCCCGTCACATTCGTACTAAACCGACGTTGTTAACAAAATTAACGACAGATTTAAGGTACACTAGATATATGCAGATAATTTTTGCAATGCACGAGTGTACAAAAGTACGTTAGAAACAGGGATTTATAAGCAATACGTTATCGACAAATTTCACGACTAAGGAAATAACCTGCCTACTTTATGATACATATTCAACTACAGTAAATATTTTTTGATCTTGCCTTTTTAAATTTTAATTGACCACTTTGACTTTGACTCAGTATTTATAAAATAAAATATTAATTATTAACAGGGAGATCAGAGATATGATGCAGCACAAATCTTGACTGGTTAAATATATTACAGTTGACTACGTTCGTATATCTAAGTTAATCTGAATAATTATTTTGTTAATTTTCTACCGCATCCTTATATTTAACATTATCAATATTGACAAATGTATGTAGCTCGCTCGTGTGATATGTGAAAACTAACTCATTATGAAGTTTAACATTCAAATACAGATTTGTTATTACTACGACAAATTGACAGGGACATAATCTGTATAAGAACTACAGTCAAAAATAAGAGATCAAGCCGAGTTGTCTTCTGTTGTTATTATAACGAACAGTAATAAAGAGATGAAAAATGTGTGAAAAATTAAGTTGGGGATGAATCAAGTTTAATTATAATAAAATTAAAAGTTAGTCTTGAGATCAAGTAAGCAGCTATTATGAATAGCAGAAAATGACATTTATCACGGTCTTGAGATCTATATGTATGAGAATAAACAAAACACTGAAAGTAAGCAGCTAATATGAATAGCAGAAAATGATATTTATCACTACTTAAGATTACAAATATCTCCACACATATACAGTTATAAAATAGCGACAAAAGCAAACCATTTAGAGGGAATAAAAAAATTCCTGTTTTAGTTTGTTTGGAAGTTAAGCCCAAAGCTACACAATGGGCTATCTGTGCTCTGTCCACCACGGGTATCGAAACCCGGTTTCTAGCGTTTAAGTCCGCAGACATGCCACTGTGCTACAGGGGGAGGGGCATTCCTGTTTTAGTGTACGTCAAAAGGCACTAGGATTGTCGAATTATTAACAGTTTAGAAACCAGTGTTGACATTTCGAATCCTTGCGGAAGAAAGATTGATCAAACTATGTTTGTTTGTTTGTTTGTAATTAAGCTCAAAGCTACGCAATGGGCTATCTGTGATCCGTCCACCACGGGTATCGAAACCCGGTTTCTAGCGTTCTAAGTCGCAGACATACCGCTGTGTCACTGGGGGGCGATCAGAATATGAAGCTGCTATTCTGGTTCGTATATCAGTCTAAAAGCAAAAAGCCTGAGAGATAATACAAATGTTGTATTTTTGTCTACACCAAAAAGGTGTTGACAAAAATCAGCGACAGTTAATACGCATCATGGTGTATACGTTCCCTGTCACCCCTACAGCTAAAAATCTGTCTTCCTGTTACACTGATAGCACAAGAAGATTGTAGTGTAAACGGTTATTTATTCATTGATGATTTTCTCCACAATAAACACTTCAAAGTTAAATATATGTACACAAAAAAATTTCAAGCCTAACCCTTTTACATTAACTCGGCAAATATCGACTATATGTGTAAATTTAAAACCAAACATCACGAAAAAAAGACTTAGCAAAATAATATAGCTTATACAACATTATTCCTGAAAACTTGATTACGTAAATCTAACTTGCGTGTTTGTTTTTCATCAGTATCAGCGATAAACATTGCCTAGACAATTATGACTTGACAGTAGATGGTTTTGTTTCGAATATTCATGCAAAGTACAGGAGCACTATTTGAACTAGCCGTCTCTAATTTTGAACTGATAGACTAGAGGTAAGGCAGCAAGTCATGATCAGCCACCGTCAATTCTTGAGCTACTTTAATCGAAGAGTGGGATTTACCAGTCACTCTTACAACACACTCGTGCACATAAAGTTACGAGGCTTTGACCTCCAACTCATAGGCACGTGTATAATTCATCTGGATATCCGAATTTTTACCATTTTTGAAAACACCTATACATAAAATCCTATATCAAGAAAAGAGAAGGTTATTAAATCGATAAATGTAGCAATTAGTTTTTGACGCCTATTTGACTGTTAGACTCGGTAATGAAGCTAAGTGAAACTTAATTTATCCCGTTGACTGTGAATGAAATAGTGGTAAGCAGTGAAATAAGTACACAGTTTTATAACACGTTTGAAACAATAAGTAATGAAAACAATTGAAAAAAATACGTAACCAAAATTAACTTCTGATAACAACGATAAGGATTGAATGATATATTTCAAACATTATCTGTCGGCTTTACCAATATTACTTTATTTCGTGTCACCATAGTAACGGTTACCTTTGATTTGGCCAAATGTTTCTTCTGCAAACGTTTAGACTAATCTGAAATACAAGGCAGTTCTTAAATCTGTATTAGCTAAAACGTGTGCATGTCTAAGTATCTTTATCTAAGTATTGTTGAACATTCTACCCTGGGGGCTTGTATAAAACAAAACATAGTAAATATTTAACATTTCACAAATGCGTATAATTCTGACGTTCTGAAACGTTTTATCGTTTTCACGATGTTCTGCTAGTGTTTGAGCTTCTATCAGTTGTTAAAGCTACTGCATTCACTTGTCTACTAATATTCGTGAGGTACTGTTGTCCTTAGCACCAGTGTCTCTGTCAGGTAGGTAAGAGTTCTGGTTGACAACACATTTCCTCATATGCTTTTCGAGAGTACTGGGTACTGAAAAGGGCATTTCGCAAAAACGACATCTCCACACTGCTTTGCCTATACGACCGTGGGTCTTCATATGCCGGGTCAGTTTGGAGCTCTGTGCGCATGCGTAAGTACACAGTTCACACTTGTACGGTTTTTCTCCAGTGTGAGAACGTGTGTGGACTGTCAAGTTGCTACAATTTTTGAATACTTTTCCACAGTACTGGCACGTGTCATTTCTACTTTTCTCTTTAGGTTTGGGAGGAAAGGTGGAGGTTGGGGTACTAGTTCCTGGAAGATTTAATGTCGTCCCAATCAAATCACATTTACTATGATCGCATTTTGAAGAGGTTACACCCCCGAGAAAATAATCACTATGATTGGAGATTACAGAAGGAAGCCAAAGTCCAGCATAAGGATTCTCTCCCTTTTGATTTCCAAGGTCGAGCTTTAGCCGCTTGTGATCCTCGAATCGGCTACTAAAAGCACTTGAAACACCTTGATGTAAGCAAAGTGGCTGTTGGCTAATAGCATTATTGTCTTCTTCACGGGATAGTCGGCCCAGTCCGTTTTCAGGTAGAGCAATAGCCTTCCTTGAAGGGGACCTTACTATAGAAGCATAGGATGATCTCTCTTTCTTAAACAGAGACTTTTCTATTCTGTTTTCCTCCAGAGCTTGCCTATAGGCTTCATTATATTGCTGAATGTCATCAAGTCCAATTTTCTCCATAACTTCTCCAAGAAGAGTTTGTTTTTGAGGCATCATCATAGGTTTTTCGGTGTCAGAATTTTTCTCACCATTTTTCTTTCTAAAACAGAAATATAAAGAATCCTTTAAGGAACCCTTTGTTGTCAAGTCTTCTGCTGTTGTCTTTTCGCAACCCTCTTCCATTTCTTCCTCATCTTCCGGTTCATTCTCGTTTTCCACGTGCTCTTCTGGGTCATCTTCATCTTCTCCAAAACTATTAGGTCCACCATCTTTAGCAGTCGAATCTGGAGTAGACTTTCCTGGCCACTGTCTGTTAGGTTCTGCTAAGTCTGAGAGAATTTTTCGATGCGTTTTCATGTGTCTCTTTAATTTACTAGCTTGAGTACAAGCATGGTTACAGATATGGCACTTGAATGGCTTTTCTCCTGTGTGAGATCGACGATGTACGGTCAGGTTACTTTGAAACCTAAAGGATTTCCCACAGAACTCACAAGATTTGAATTTGGGTAATTCTACTTGATGGATAACTTTATGGTTTGGAGAAGGAGAGAATGATTTAGACAGGAGCAGTGTAGATACAGGCTGAGGCATGCTCGAGGGCGTAAAGGGGTGAGGAGAAGAATGATTGGGTGTTATAGATTGGAGATATGGTGAAGTCATGTTTCGTGCAGGGTATGGATTAAAACTTGCCCCTGCTAATTGCCGCAGCCTCTGAGAGCAAAAATCCAGATGTGATTCAAATCCTAAGCCTACGTGAGTTTCTCGTGGGCTACCAAAGCAATTTTTATCAAAAGGATTGAGCATGTTAAACGGACTGAGACCGATTCCTGTGAAATAATTTAGTCGGTGGTACTGGCCACTTAAGAGGTCCATCCGAGAACAATGACTAGCAGCACTACGCGGAAAGTAGCTGGATGTGTTAAGAGTAGGGTCAAACTGTCCTTCATCCAGGGCCATTTGGGGTAGTTGTAGGTTTGGAACTCGCGTATAATCCAAGCAAATGGGATGAAGAATAGACTGTTCTCGACTAACGGTGATGATAGCAGGCGGAGAAGATGTAATTATTGGGGAGAATGATGCTGACACTGTTCTCGGAACTTCTGCTAAGGCCTTTGCTCCGTTGTTCATCTCTACATAGATTTTCAAGCCATGCATCTTCTGCACGTGTTGGACCAGCAGCCACGCTGAAGTGAAGCACTGCTTGCACGTTGAACACACGTGGTTGTTCGGTTCTGAAAAAAAAAGAATAAAACTAATGAATCCTTTGAACTTTCCCAACTGACGATTCTTCAAATGACTGTCACGGCATCTTGTCATAGTCTGAGCAAATAACTGATGCTTTAGAGAAGTTCTTTCTTTTTCTACTGGACTTTACCAGGCAAACTTTGGATGTGTTATCGTCAATTCCTAGGGACATCTTTACTAGAGTTTGTTTGTTCATAGTTAATTTTAACACAAAGCTATGAAAGAGTTATCTGTGTAGTGCCTACCACTAGCATCGATATCCGGTTTCTAGCGTTATAGGCATTCAAATTTATCACTGAGCCATTGGTAACTTTATTAAATAATGTCACCAGTCAATCGTACAGCATGAAAAATGAAAAGATACGTCTATTAAACGTCATAGATTAATAATATTAAAGTAAAACTTTTTTTATTTTTAAAGTGTTTATTTTATTACAAATTTATCGCTGGACTTTAAGTAGCAGTAGTTGTACAGAACACTTCTCAGCAGTTATACAATGCATTTTACAGCAGTCTTGTTTGTTTGAAGTTAAGCACAAAGCTACACAATGGGCTATCTGTGCTCTGCCCACCACGGATATCGAAACCCAGTCTCTAGCGTTGTAAGTCCACAGACATACCGCGGTGCCACTGGGGGACTTACATCAGTCATACAGTATACGTATTTGGTGAGCACGAAGCAGGAATAAAAGGGGAATGTGTCGCAAACAAAGGCTTGAGGGAAGTTGAACGTTTTTCTTGGGCACTAGTTTTGAGACACCGAGTTGTTTATCTTTACCTGAAAAACGAAGAATGTTACGATATCATGAATTACGTTAACAAATAATAAGCCTTCTTAATCTGTTAGATACATGTACTATGTTTTTCTTCTGTGTGTTTTTTTAACCACTTAAATGACAAACCATGGCACGAGATTTGAAATCTTTTATTTCTAAGACTGAGTTAATTTGCTTTCATTTCCCACTTTTTGAAACAATCTAATCATTCTGTGGTTATGCATTATCATTATGTTTACATTGGATTCATGTGTTTAGTGAGCTTGTTTCTTAAGCGCATAATTTTTTTTTTGCACGTTAACGACTGATGTACATTGACTTGAGGCGTTTAAATCGCATTTGTTTGTTCCAGAGGTTGGTATAGAAAGAGCTAAACTTAATAATTTGGTTTCATTCAGATCCATCACGCAAAACTGTAATTTGTGGCTTTGTAGTTAATACCACAAAAATAAAACACATGTAAGATTCGACAATTTCAAAATACGACGCGAGAACAAGTTCACGCCTTTTCATTAATTTGCTTTTACTTCCTGTGTCATCCAAGCGTTATTATTGAAAAAAATAATAATGTTTCTCTTTGAAACCAGCAGTTTTCAGTTTAACTTGAACATTTTGAGCCTTACTAGCGAAAAAAATTAAGGAAAAACAAATATAGGTGTTTCTAAAGTAAATTTTTTCCCCTGATTTGCCAATGGTCGACTGCATTTTCTCTATTCGCGACGACTTTATGGGGATCTAGACCATTTTCGGGATCTCGTAAGTTCAGATTTGATATTCCACCTATTCCTCGTCCTTGCACTGTTAAATGTTGAACATCACATAAATGAGGGTGTTGTAATCACTTAAAGTCACTGTTATGATTACAATACTCCTATCATGGCCAAGTACATTTTCGCTGATGTATACGTTGCTTCATTTATTATGCTAAAGTCTTACAAATAGTACCAAATAATCAAGTGCTGATTCATCCTGTAGCATACCTTATATACCTTATACGTACTTACTTTTTAATACATAATATATATATATATATACTACATAAATTATTTATTAGGTAGGTCTAGCAATAGGTGGGTGATTGTTATTCTTAAAGTAAGGCTATGATAATCCATGTTAACATAACATGTATTTACACTACAACTGTACGGGGGAGAGGGGGGTTGTAGTTGTTGGAGGAGTGCTGTGATATTCCATGCTAACATATGAGAGATAGATTTGAATCTAAATAAGCCAGTTTTGATGTATCGCCTCCATGACATTTTAACGTATTTCTATTATTGTAAATGGCATTGGGTAGTTTCCTCATTAACAAAGATCCAGGGGGAGAGTCCTCGTATAAGGGGGAGATTTCTCGTAGCCACCATGCCGACTATAAAACTTTAAAATATTTAAACTAATAGTCTCTGCTTTTCTGTGGAGTTTCTTAATAATAGTGACGGCGTATCTCATTATTCGGTCAGACAAGTATAACCGAAGAGTTTGTGGTGGGTGTTGTTGACTAGCTGCCTTCCCTCTAATTTTTCAGTTCAGATATAGGAACGGCTAACGCAGATAACCCTTAAGTATCTTTACCCGAAAACTGGTAAAGGAAATAGTATCCATCCAATCTTGATAAGATACTATTTAAAACAATTGAACAAAGTCAATATGCAATGCTGAACATAAAATATAAAAATAAATATTTATTTTTTTTGGAGCTATGTTGTGAAATGACAATGCCCTCAGTCTCTTGTGGAATTTTATTCGTGATTTTAATTTATGTCCCCTAAACGAAAATAGGGCATTTATGACGAGCAGAATCTGGTTTATACAACAGTTTATATGTAGTAAATGTTACTTAAGTACAAAATGTGTCATTCGTAGAGCTATTCACCTAGCACAATATATATATATATATATGCGTATTTTGCGTCCCGTAGTCTGTCATGTACACACCTAAACGTAACGGGTGGTTAACATTAATAATTAATATTTTAATGAATTCTGAATACTGTTGAAGAATGTGAATAATCCCTTGAGAAAATAATAAATTACATACTGATTCCCTGAAGAAAAGGTTAGAAGACAAATTTAGATCAAATATTCACGTAACGTTGAAAATTCAAGCGTTTACTGTTTATTCTAAAGGGAATGAATTCTACAAATGTATAGCCAAAAGTTTGTTTGTTTGTTTTTTGTGCAAAGCTACTTGAGAGCTATCTGCTCTAGTCGTCCCTAATTTACCAGTGATAGACTAGAGGGTGGGAAGCTAGGCAACACCACCCACCGTCAACTCTTGGGCGATTCTTTTAACAACGTATAGTGGGATTGACATTTACATTATAAAGACCCCACGACTAAAAGGGCGAGCATGTTCAATGACCGGGAATCGAACCCACGAACCGAAGACTGCGAGTCGAGCTCCCTAACCACCATGGACAAAAGAGCAAAGAGAAAAACTCGTATGTTTACAACATGTTTATGAACAGTCCTGGATTCAGCGTTTCTTAACTGGGGGTAGGGGGGCAATGAGACATGTAATAGGCCAAATCTAAAACAAATCTAAGATTACGTTAATGGACAGCATTAGCGTGGGGGCCAACGGTATTTTATGGGTCCCAGTTCCCCGCTAATAACGACCCTGTTTATGAACCCCTTGGAAACTTTTCTTGACAAAATGTTAATTTTAAAACACTGTTCGACGGAATAAGTTGTTTTTTGTTTTGTTTTTTTTAATAAAGAAAACCACGAAAATTGAAATTGTTTTAAGAAGTGTATAAAAACAAAAATATGATTACACTTGGAGTGGATAAAAATCACTTCCTAGAACGTGACATAATATGAGATAAACGTAGAATTAAACATACGTTATTTGTTAGAAATGAAGTTATAAAACAAAATCGTGTACAATTGTACGAATTAAAGGGATTCGCTTGGCAAACAATAAACTTAGGGCGTTCATTTAGTTATAACATGATTTAAGTGAAAAAATATCTGCAAGCTGGAGTATGACTAGTTAAAAAAAGTTAAATTAAACTAACGGATGAAGCATGTCAGCGTTAGAAATCAGGTTTCGATACTCGTGGTGGGCAGAGCACAGATAGGCCATTGTAGAGCCTTGTACTTAATTACAAACAAACAAAATTCCATTCCGATATAGGAGACGCTCATGTCGTAATCGCTGATTAACTTAAAGTTTTCCTGGAAAATCAGCATCTTTGATCCATCACAAATAGGGGGTTTCCCAGAAACAAGAATACAGTGTCTTTTTCATGGCCAAAAGATATAAATAAAATGAAAATATACTCAGAAGACGCCTGTTTTTTAGGTAAAAATTGTTTTATTTATGGAAAGGGCTGGAAAGGTCTTGTAATGTGTTTCAACGGAACTACAAATATAAACTTATTAGGCTCTGGTCTTCTCGAAGTTTCTTCGAAAAAGATTGAATAAAGTAGGGTAAATATTAAGTTCTATCAACGGCGAAACATTTTGAAATTGAGATGATCAGTTTAACATTTTAATTGTTACATTCATTGTTAAAGAGCTTTACATAACTTTTATTACGAAAAACTAGTTATTTCGTAAGAGCTCATTTCTTTACTTCGAGGAAATCTGGAAGAATCAAATGTGCACTGTTCCTTGTTTATAACATAGTGGTAGTAAAATTATTTGAAGATGGATCTGGAAACACTCTCTACATTGTTGTAATTCATAGTGTTATGATGTAGAATGGAGGAGGAAACACTCTGCTTTGTTGTAATTGGTAGTGTTGTGATGTACGATGGAGTTGGAAACACTCGCTGCATTATTGTAATTGATAGTGCTATGTTATAAGGCGGAACTGGAAATACTCTGCATTGTTGTAAATGATAGTGTTGTGATGTACGATGGAACTTGGAGCACTCTACATTGTTATAATTGATAGTGTTGTGATGTCACTTTAAAATATTAGTGAAACTTTGACAAAATCTATAATCTGTAAATTATTACACTTACATATATGATACATGACCTGTATTTGTGGCTTAGGAATATACCATAGGTACTTTCAGTAGAATTAACGTTGTTTTTAAGTTCATTGTTTATTTTTGAATACCTACAAGTTTAACGCAAAACACATGACCCCAAAAGTTCGATTTTTGTGTGTATGTGTGTGTGATTTGTTATCTTCTTTCATGTTCCATTTAGCTTCTTTTTTTATAAATATGTTCAGTTTTTATGTTTGTGCGTGT